AGTTGATGGAACAGCACAACCAATTTGTTGGCTCGCTGCAATCTCGTTTGGCTAAATTACAGGTAGCAATTTGGAAAACTCACTAGTGGTTATTTGATGCTCCAATTTGTGTCTGGCTATTATAAAGCTTTTTCAGTCCCTTGTAACTAATTTATGTGTTTAAGTCTCTTATAAGCGATTTGCATTATCATGAGATGATGACCTGCATGCAATGTTTAGCCTACTCATTTGCAGGTTCTCTTGCGAATTGCCCTCGGTAAGACGTGCAGAAAGAGGGGGGGGGGGGGGATTCATTCAGTTGATCTCTACCATGTTATATTGGTCTTCAAGAGTCCGCTTAATCAGATATAGATTTTGGCCTTTTGTAGGTTGTGTACCAGTACTGGCAAAGACATGATATTAAAGGGGCAATAAGTGCACTGGAGAAGATGGCAGATAATGCTGTAAGTCTATTGCTTTTGTGCCCTACTTTTTTTCTTAATACTTACCTTTTTAACACCATAGGGTTACCATTTAATGACGCTTATACAGGTGCTTGCTGATTTGTTGAGCTTCTTGACTGAGAAAATTGACATTATCACATTAGAGATTTGCACATGCCTATTACCACTTCTCACGGGGCTGCTTCAGAGCAAGTTGGATAGGTAGAACTAATTGAGCTTTATTTTAGTTTTCTTCGGCTAACATTGTTCGAAAGCTTCCATGATTGACATGTTTGCTTCTTGGTGGACTTCCTTTAGGCATCAAGATATTTCATTAAACATGCTGCTCAAACTTGTTAGAGTATTTGGTTCACTGATTTATACTTCGTTGTCTACTCCAACATCAGTTGGTGTTGATATTGAGGCGGAGAAAAGGTATTATTACATGTTTTGTTATACTTATCATGTTCTTTCTAGATCTAATTTGAACTGTTTTATTGCTTATTGACAACAAAAGGATGGAGCGCTGCAATCTCTGCTTTATTGAGCTTGAAAAAGTCAAGAATCATCTGCCTGCTCTTTCTAGGTATGTCAAAGCATCTTAACCAACCTTGTGTGGTCTGTGGAAAGGTTACATCGCTTACATATCTCTATTTCTGTACCTTTTTTCATCTAGAAGAGGAGGATCCATTGCCAAATTTGCTCAGGAGCTGAGTCTAGCACTTCAAGAAGTTTCATGAGTTCACTGTTATCTCATGGAATAGCGATCCAATATTTTGGTAAAGTAACGATGATGGTGCTGAACTTGAGCTACTTTTGTAGATCCGAAGCTACCTGCACTGCATGCTTTTGTATCTTGCCGTGCTAGAGTCCTGTGTATTACATTCCTGCCAGGATTGAACACTGACTACTAATTCCTTACATTTTCACTGATCATTGAAAAACCTGTTCTACACTGATGCTGGTCTAAATGTTGCTGCTAATGAACCTGATTGTTGGAGAAGGATCCATCATACTTACTCTCATCTAACCGGACTACATATTATTCTTTGTAATTGTAGGTTTCTTGAGTGGAAATCATGTATCAGTTGTGATAATTAGTATATTATGCAAGGTTGTCTAAACAATAGCCCACTCAACTTTTTTGAGATTGAGGCAGAGTTGATTGATATGTGTAACGGTATCTAAACCTTGTGGTATCTTGACATTCTTCTACCTGTCTTATTATATAGCTTTATTAACCACTAAACTGCACCATGGCGGAGTTTGATATATATTAAAAAATCTAAATTAAAAAAAAAAAAAAACTGCACCATGGAGCCTTATGGTTAGGGATGTCATACAGAATGCACATTCAGTTGCATACAATAATTTTATTCAAGGAAAACAAAGACCAAAATCACTCGAACAATTGATATACCTAAAAGAAATAAAGGTAACAGGCTTCATATAAAAGAAATACAGGTTGCTAGTGCTTTGCTTTGACAAATCCTAACATTAGGCTTATGTCTTCCTGCATAAGAAGATAATTTCACACAAGATGCGTCGCAGAATCATGTACTGAAATACGAGTCAAACTCAAGAAAAATTTCTGGTCAAATATTGTAACGACCCGACCGGTCGTTTTGAGCTCTAGCACTCCGTTCAGCAGCCTGAGGCCGTGAGCAGCTTCATTTCGGGTATTGTGACTTGTGCGCGTGGTCGGAATTGAATTTTGGGGACGTCCAGAGTTGAATTAGCAGGAGAATTCTCATTTCGGAAGCTTAAAGTTGAAAGAATGAACTAGAATTGGATTTTTGAGTAGACGACCTCGGAATCGGGATCTGAAGGTTCCAGCAGGTTCGTATGATGATTTCGGACTTGGGCGTATGCCCGGTTCGGGTTTCGGATAACCCGGGAGCGTTTTGACGCCTATTGTGGAAGTTAGCATTTTTGAAGAAATTCCATAAGTTTGGCTTGAAGTGCATTTCAGTGCTATCAATGTCCGTTTGGGATTCCAAGTCTGTGAATAGCTCCGTATGGTGATTCTGGAGTTGAGAGCGCGATCGGAAGTGAATTCGGAGGTCCGTAGGTCATTTTGGAGCCATTTGGCTAAAGATAGAAATTTGAAGGTTTTTGAGAAGTTTGACCGGAAGTGTACTTTTTAATATCGGGGTCGGAATCCGATTCCGGAAGTTGCACTAGGTCTGTAATGTCGAATATGACTTGTGTGCAAAATTTGAGGTCAATCGGACGTGATTTGATAGGTTTAAGCATCGAAAGTAGAAGTTCTAAAGTTTATAAAGCTTGGATTGGAGGTCGATTCATGATTTTAGCGTTGCTTGATGTGATTTGAGGCCTCGAGCAAGTCCGTAATGTGTTTTAGGATTGGTTGGTATGTTTGGTTGGGGTCCCGGGAGCCTCGGGTGGATTCCGGGTGGTTAACGGATCGGAAATGGGATTTATGGAAGGTTGAGGTTTTCTGCTTCTGTCATAACCGCATCTGCGGTTCTGCAGAAGCAGTACCGCAGATGCGGCAACTCAACCGCAGAAGCGGTTTTGGGCTAGAAGAGGAAGGACCGCAGATGCGGTCATATTTCCGCAGATGCGGAACCGCACCTGCGGTAGAGGCATCGCAGAAGCGGATTTTGCCAGGGGCTCGTGGACCGCAGATGCGGTCAAGGTTCCGCAGAAGCGGGACCGCATCTGCGGGAAGGGGAACGCAGAAGCGAAAATGGGCGGCCTAGTGGAAGCCGCAGAAGTGGCTGATGGTCCGCAAAAGCGGGACCGCGGAAGCGGAATTTTTTCCGCAGAAGCGAAAAATGCTGGGGGCAGAATGGTTGTTTAAAATCGGAATTTTTGCCATTTCTTCTCATATTTTCTTGGCTTGGCACAATTTTTGGGAGAGCTTTAAGTGGGATTTTCGTCATCTATGTTAAGGTAAGTTACTCCTACTCATTTCCAAGTTAAATACAAGATTATATCATGGAATTAGATATGAAAATTGTGGGAAAATTGGGATTTTTGGAAGAAAACCTAGAAACTTGATAAATTGGATTTTTACCACGAATTTGAGCATGGAATTAGGAGTAAATTATATATTTGAGCTAGTGAAGCTATGGGTAGAGTTTGTCTTCGAGAAATTTCGGATTTCCGGGCACGTGGGCCCGAGGGCGTTTTGGGCAACTTTTCGATCGGAGTTAGGAATTCGCTATAAATTAGATTGTAACGAATATTTGAGCATATATTAATGGATTTGCGTAATCGTTGGCTAGTTTTGGAGCGTGGTGCATCAATTAGAGTCTTCGGAAGGGCGTGGAATGCCGGTTATGGATCTTCGGAGCGAGGCGAGTCTCCTTTCTAACCTTGTAAGAGGGAATTGTCCCCATAGGTGAAATAATTGATTATGTGCTCCTATTTGTGGGGGCTACGTACGCACAAGGTGATGAGAGTCCGTGCGTAGCCACTACTATGCTATTGTCCGGGTAGTTAGGACCCAAAAGTATGCTATACTTGGATTAATTGTAAGCTCATTGATAGCTTGGATTGTTTAGATCGCATTGAATTAGTAAATGAATTTCAAAAAAGGATTAAACTTTAATCTCTTAAATTGTTAAAAAGAGGACTGGTTTTAATTGGACAAATGCTCCCTGATAAATCCTTAATTGGCTATTTGAGCATGTATTTTTATGTGAACCTTCGCATGATTGATTCGCGAGCAGGGTGATTGTTTATTTTATGTTGACCGCGTCGCATGGATAGTTCGCGAGCGGGGTAATAGATGCATCTATGGTTCGAGCCGTTCGACCCTCGGCAGTGCACAGTTTACATTTCTGTAGGAGCGGGCCGTCGACCTCGGCATGATTTGCGCATGATATATTGTCGCTTGCGAATTTTTAACTGTGAAATTGCCCTTCGTGGCTTGATTTAAATTGATAAGATAATGAAAAGTAAACCTTGAAAATCCTTGATTATTTGTTGAAGGTGTTTACCCGTTTTCAGGCTTCGTGAATTAGGACTGCTATATAAAGCCATGATTTCCTCACATTTTTTTTGTCAATTGACCTCTAGTAAGTGTCGAAGTTGACCATCTCGTCTCTACTTCTTCGAGATTAGACGGGATACTCATTGAGTACACGTTGTTTACGTACTCATACTACACTTCTGTGCATTTTTGTTGCACAGGTATATTTATCTCTTGCAGCCCATTGGGCATCGCAGCACGGATGATTCGGGGACTAGGTGAATTGCATTATTCGAGGCGGCCCGCAGCTAGTAAAGTCCCTTCCAGTAAATTGTATTTTCTTTCTGTCCACTGTATTCCGGACGGATGTTGTATTGTATTTTATTTCCTTATCAGTAGATGCTCATGCACTGGTGACACCGGGTTCTGGGATGGTTTTTATATATTTTTGTATTGATTGCTAGTATTTAATTTGAATTGAAGCAGTTACCTTTTTACTTATGAAATTTAAAGGAAAAATCTTGATTTTCAAAATTGTTAAAATTTGAGTTTAATTAAGTATTTGGTTGGCTTGCCTGACAGCGGTGTTCGGCGCCATCATGACCCTTAATGGATTTTGGGTCGTTACAAATATATCCATTAATAGGATGTGGTACTGAAGTTGACAAATGACAACCAAAATAAGAAAGCTAACTCATACATTATGACAGGATTTTGCATCCCTTCATATTAGTGATGTTCAATCCTTTGTATACGTTCGACGAATGACTAGTTTAATTTTGTAATAAAACATAACAAATTGAGAGGAAGAGACTGAGAAGCCTGGTGCCAACCACTCTCTGAATCCTCAAGCAATAGGCTTTAAAACATACATCTTGCACGCATGAGAGTTCACAGTAGCTGTCAAATTCCCTTCAAATCTTGTCTTCAATGTCTTGTGCTGCATCTCAAAATTGTGCCCATGTTATTTGCAACAAGAATATGCCACATTAAATCCATAATGTGTAAAAGGGCTAGCAATCAGGGAGTGAATAATTGCAAATATTTTTTTTCCCCGTAACTTCCCAAAATGGTGAATGATAGACAGGAGTCAGGATCTTCATTAAGGGGAGTCAAATATAAATAAATAAACACACGAAGAAGCTAAGGGGGTTCAACATATAGTATATACATATTAAAAAATATTTGACCTATCTATACAGTATAATTTTCCGACGAACTGACTCCCCTAACAATAGGGGTAACTCCGTCCCTGATGATAGACTACTTTATTGGTCTGGTTGAGAACTTATTCTATGGATCCGGCTGAGTATTACATAGAGGTATGTAACATTCACGAGTATGTTCAAGTTATATAAAGTTTTCCAGTGCATTCTAAAGGATCACTATGAAGTACTTATATATCTATGTCATATGTACCCTTTTGACATTGGTGTCTCTAATCTAGGCATACAAAGTATTTGGTCACACAGTTGATCAAATAAACAAGTTCAACAAGAAAGTATCAATTTATAGCAAGTTTGAAAGGTTTTATACTTGAATAATAAGTATTAAAGGGACTAGTCTAATTTGATATGTATGATATTTCTTGTTGAAGTTATAAAAGTCCTAACTTTCTGATTGACTGAAAATCGTTCTCCCTGGAATCTTTTTGGCGAGGTTCCAACCTACGTGCGTCTAAACCACACATCAGTTTACGTTCTTACCACTAGACCAAATCCCTAGGGGCTCATTCTTTCTGAAGTCTTCTGAAAGACAGATTAGGAAATGTAACAAAGACATACCTCCCAAAGATCTCTTGCCTCTACGACGCTGTTAGGAGGGATTCCAATGTCATCCCAGTGTGCTGTTATTTCATATTTCTGAGGACCACGGTTGAGAAGCACTAAAGCTACTCTATAGCCTGACAAAGGCCCTGCCCAGACCTGTTCGTAATAGAATGTGAAAAGATTATTGTCTGCAATCTGCAAAATCGGCATGGAAAATAGTTTTATTACATATAGATTTTTTACCTCAATATCGCCTTCCATTCTGGCCTTTTTGCCCTGGACGCCTAACTCATCTGTTTAAAGCAATGAATGAGTGCTATAATACCTTTGAAAACAACTGAAGGGATATAGCTCCTACCTTGGTAATCGCATATAAATTATAACAAATGACTAGTTGCAGTTTACATATTATGCAGTTTAGTACCTTGGTTTACAGCAATGACCTCCTTGTTGGCAAGTATTTCCGTGGTATCCTTTGTTACATTTCTCACATCACAACCAATGATAAGGGGAGCCTAGAATTAGCATAGAATGGATCATACATTTTGCCTCAAGGAGCACAAATAGCCTTAATAAAAAGTGAAATATACATTTAAGAAATATGTTTGCTGTACCTTTGAAATAGCCCAGAGACTAAAGTGGACAATGTATTCATCCTTTGTCATACCTCCATTTCCCACTTCAAGCATGTCGGGATCTGATTGGAAACAATTGCAAGTGCGGTACATAATATATTTAAGTAATTAAAAAAGTGTTCGCTTGAACAGCTAAACTTTTAAATGTGATGGTCACACTTTAACATGGTATCGGAGTATGCAAAAAGTCATAGGTTTAAGTCTCATGGCCACTCAAACACAGAAAGAATATTTCCGCACGTTTGGTCCATGAAAAATAATCCAACCACATGAGAGAGGGCGTGTTGAGACATAATATAACTCTCTCTAACAGCTTTAGATAAGATTGTCACATACTTCAACAATAAGGATGTAGAGATTTAAGAAAAAACTAAAAGCATCGAAAAACTAACCATTCCAGCCACCAGGCCTTGCAAGGTCTGCATAAACTTCATTCTGGTCTGCTCTAGAAATCATGCTGTCAAAGAAATAATGATGAATACAAGATCAAGTCATGAAATCTGTCGATTCAAAGACCTATTTTTAACCATTACCTTTCCCATGTATCAGTGATATCGTTTGTGTTTCTCCAGCTATTACCTACTTTGCCACCCCACAACGCCGGATGCAAGTCGCCCCTATTTGAAATAAATAGGCACATAGGTTCACTACAATAATGTCAAAATGAGAGCAGGAAACATGGGCTCATTTAGGAAGAAGTTGTCACCATTCACAAAGACTAAAGAAGATAGGTCGTCCAGCATTCATTAGAGCTCTTGTCATTACAGGGTATCTACACAAGACAGGACCCCCGTCAAGAAAGAACATACGATAAACGACTAGTAGAATCTGTCACACATGATTTCGCGAGTTGAACAGAAACAACAGGTTTTTACCGCACAGTTGGCTTTGTTCCATCATGGTTGCAATTATCATACTTCAAATAATCAATACCCTGAATGAAGATGTCGTTATTCACAACTATATTCGAATTGTTTTATGGTTAATTGTCAAGATTAGTCAGGAACGTTGTACTTACCCATGCTGCAAAAGTTTTTGCATCTTGTTCCTCATGACCAAGTGAACCAGGCATTTTCTTGCTGCAAGTAAAATACCTGCAGAATAAAATCAAATCTCCTTAAATGGTGAATTTCGAGATCAAGTCTATCTTTCAAAGATGAATTTCATGTGCAAGTTGGCGTTACCCTGCATCTGAGTAGATTCCTAGCTTAAGACCTTTACTGTGAACATAGTCAGCTAGAGCTTTCATTCCAGAAGGAAATGTGGAATTCTTAGGTGCAAAATTTCCCTGGAATTTGGATTTCGTAACAAAGAAAACTAGTAAGGAATGTAGTAAGGTGAAGCAGAAATTTCCACTTGAGACAAAAGTACCTGATCATCGCGTTGAGGTTCAGCCCAGCAATCATCTATAAGGAAAAGGGTTCAAACACAAGGTTTTAGCAATGTTGATAACTAAGGGAAGTAGCTACAGACAGCTGAATCAAATGCAGAGGTGGATCCAGTATATAAGCAATGGGTGCTATTTGGACACGGAATGTGTACGTATATAGAAAATTTAGAAAAAAGTTTAATAAAGGGTGGCCGGTGCACTAAGCTCCCGCTATGCGCCGGGTGATTATACTACCTCTGATGCTGAGGGCGATCGTTCTATTTTATTGTGTGCAGAAGTTGATCTTACTAAGCCTCTTTTATTTTATCTAAGTTTAAATCGCACTGTGTGGAAATTGAGTATGAGGGCCTTCATATGATCTCTTTTAATAGTGGCAAAGGCAAATATGGCCTTAAGGATGATAACTGTCCATTAAAGCAAGTTGAAGGCCAAACTGATACAGCGGGAAAGGGCCGAACCACAAAGGTCTATTTTACGCAGCCTTACCCTGCATTTATGCAAGAGACTATTTCCACAGCTCGAACCCATGACCTCCCGATCACATGATTTATATATATGTTAGAGAATTTATCGTCTGCTTCTCAATCTTGGATCCACCTTTAGTTGAGGACATACCTATATTGACATACTTATACCCCAGCTTATCAAGACCAGTTGAAACCAAGGCATCAGCTGTCAACCAAAAGAAAGTTCAACATTATACATAGCTGCATGTGAATTTGTTGATTATAACATCAGGGACTAAATTAGGTAATGCAAACAAAAACAGATAAACCACTTAGTGCAGTACTTAAAACTTACCAGTTTCTCTTATGACTTTCTCATCAATGTTGCAGCCAAAATGATTCCAACTACTCCACCTAAAATAAAATTTTGCTTTTGTTAGTTAGAATTCCTGAAGCCCAAAGAAATTAATTGACTGATTGCAACAAAAAGTCAAGATCCAGGATTTTACAGAAAAGGGTGCAGAGGATCATGAAACCACTACTTTTTTGTGGCAATATGTACATACATAGCATAAACTCAAACACACACACACACACGCATATGCACATATAATGTTTACAAATCAATTGAAGCAACAAAGAACAAACACAGAGACGGAGTCTAGGATTTTCTGCAAATATATGCAGAGCTCTACCATGCCAACTACTATTTTGTGCAAGAGGCGGAGCCAGGATTTGAAGCTTATGGGTTCGGATTATCCGTTTAAGCTACTAGGTTCTAAATTAATAATTTGTACATATTCAATGAATTTTATAAGACATACATAGTTTGGACCAAAGCTATTGGGTTCGACCGAACCTGTAAGGCATATGCTAGCTCTGCCTCTGGCTGGAAACATAGTGTATATAATTAACGGGTTCAACAGAACCAAATATTTTAGACACAGAACATAGACACGTGAAAAAAATACTAAAATTTAAAAAAAATAAAAAAAAATTAAACATTGATCCATAGTTTCAAAATTGTAATTCATTCAATGGTGAACTCAAAATTTAAATCTTAAATCTATCTTTGAGTGTACACACTCTGAGTGTACACAGGGGCAGATGTACAACATAAGGTACATGTTCAGCTGAATCTAGTAGTTTTGCCTGAGACCCTATATTTGTGTTAACACATCTATTAGATATGTACAAATATTTAATTTCGAATTAAGTAACTGGTTGGTCAGTGCGTGCAGTGGCATTTAGAATCCATAAACTTCAAATCGTAGATCCGCTGATGAGTATACATAGTTTATACTGAGAACAATAATGCTACAAGATCATACATCATAGCCCATGAGCAGACATGGTTAAAGATGAAAATCAAACAGTAAAACATTAAAAAAGAAAATTCTGAAAAATCAAATTAAATTTAGTAATGGAATTTTTAGTAGTGATATTATTGGAAGAGATCAATAGGATTTACCCCATAGGAGGAGTCAAGCCGAGTCCATTGGAGAGCAAATTACGTCGTGTACTGTCAACTGAATCCTCTTTCTCCTTTTGCTGCTGCCGTCGGTTCAAAACTTGCCACCGCATATCCGCCGTCAGACGGTGGCAGTAACCACCAATCACGGCGGATATCAATAAGCATAATGCAAGTAATAGCAACTTTCTCCCTACTCTAATCTCCATCACTTTTACAGTTTACTTGTCCACAAACTTCACTACACTATTTTCTCGTTTATGGGATTCTTACAGCGTACGAGGTTATATAAGAACTGTTGAATGCTGACGTAGTACTAACGTTATCCGTTGAATAAGAAGAGATAATGATTGACAAGATTAACGTTTCTGGAACACTCGTCTCATTATTATGCTAATTAAGGAAGTACTTTAATTAGATTCATTCGTGTGGTCGTATTCAGGTTTGTGGTAGGACCTACGTATGATTTGATCATATTGCTCTTGGATTGGATGATCTATTTTTATTTTTATTTTATATGAGTATCTTTTTCTTACGTATTAAAAACCTTGTCAAACTCAACTTATTTCAAATTACGAAAAAAATAAATTATATGGGTTTACAGTACCTTAGCTTTATGTTTTGATGATCTAACAAACTTACTGTCAAAGAACCAGATAAGGAACCTGACACACTTGGTACACTACTCAATCAACGGACTCAAGCTAATGTGAGTTGCTATGACTTCAGAAGATCAAGAATCAACACAGGCTTGGGTTCCCCTGACAGCAGTACGAAGTCAACTGTCTACAACTGGAAAGTGAACTACCTGCACTATACACGCAAACAATGTAACACGGTACAATAGTCACTTCTCATTGACCAACCAAGTGATTACATCATTCAAGTGATGTCGTCTATGTTGTATTAACAATAAATATTACAACAAAACATCACTTGAACACTTATAAAATTCATTCAAGCATCTAACAATCAAGCATTCAATTCTCAAGTGCATCAAGAACAAAGTACAACACTACTACGGACCAGTTCCTACAACAAGTCTCTTGTATGTTCTTAGTTGAGTTGTAACTTTTTAATTGTTCTTCATTGTAATTCCTACTTTGCTTATCTAGAAGCTTTATTTAGGAACCCATTGTAAACCATAAACCTTTATTGTTTTTGTCGTGACTAGAGTTAGTCATGAGTTGAAGTCTTTGTAATAAGTGTATTGCAAAGTGGCTTGCAATAGGTGTATTACAAGTTAGTGAGGGATTAAGAGTTTAATTCCTAGATTGTAATCAAAGATTGCTCATAGTGAAGTTGAAATCCTACCAGTGTAGGTCGTGGTTTTTTATCCCCCTGAGCAGGGCTTTTTCCACGTAGAAGTTCCCTGTTCCATTTACTTACTGTTGCATTAGCATTATCTGTGGAAACCTATATAGGACCCGGTCTGTATATAGTTTGGTGGATTCATATATTCTATCAATTGGTATCAGAGCGTGTTCTTTCTATCATGTTAACACCTAGAAATGATCCTTATGACTGCTCCATCGAACTTCGAAGAGGGTCAGTCTACCTACAGACCACCCAGGTTCAATGGCCAATATTATGGGTGGTGGAAGACAACGATGCATGATTTTATCATGGCTGAAGACTCCGAGCTATGAGATGTTATATGTGTGGTCCTTATGTCCCTACAAAAAAGGTCGGAGATCCTGCTGTGACAGTGCCTAAGACGAGGAAAGAATATAACAATGCTGACAGGAAGGCTGTGGAGAAAACTTTTTGTGCCAAGAAAATTTTGGTGTGTGGTATAGGTCTTGATGAATACAACAGGATTTCAGCTTGCCAATCTGCCAAAGATATATGTGAAGCTTTACAAATAGCACACGAAGGAACCACTTAAGTAAAGCAATCTAAGATTGACATGCTCACCACTGAGTATGAGCTCTTCAGAATGAAGGACGATGAATCCATTCCAGACATGCACACTCGATTCACTTCCATCATAAATGAGTTACACTCGCTTGGTGCAATCATTCCTAGAAACAAGCTCGTGAGGAAAATTCTCAGTGTTTTGCCTAGTTCAAAATGAATGCCATTACTGAAGCAAAAGATTTGCAGGAGCTAACTATAGATGAGCCGGTTGGGAATCTGAAAACCTATGAAATGAAGAAGAAGAAGGACATTGAAAGAAGAGAACCAAAGAAGGAACTCAAGGCAGAAAGCAATGACGCAAGTGGCGAGGATAGTGACATGGCTTACTTAACTAGAAGATTTCAGAAAATGGTTAGAAGGAATGGAGGTATACCCAAGAGAGGCAGTTCTAGCAAGCCAAAGAACTATGACCTCTGTCATAAGTGTGGAAAGCCAGGGCATTTCATCAAAGATTGTCCTCTCCTGAAGCAATAACACTTCAAACACAACTCTGACAAAGCAGCCAAGAGGAACCCGGTTCCTGATAAATGCTTTAAAAGAAAGAACGCCGCTGACAATATTGTGAAGTAAGCTCTTGCAGCATGGGTAGATTCTTCCAGTGAGTCTGAAGAAGAAGAAGATGCAGGTGACAACTCAATGATGGCAGTTGAAAGTGAAGCAAATGAGTATAACTCAATATTTGCTTTGATGGCTCAATCAGATGATGATGAAGACAATGACAATGATGAGGTAAATTTTCGGGATGTTAAGAGAAATCTGAAGTCCTACTCTCCTAGAAAACTCATGTCATTAGCTATTGTGTTGATTGATGCTTACCATAGTCTTTTAAATGATAAGGATGCCTTAACCTTGGAGTTAGGAGATGCTGAACAAACTAGAGATGACTTGATAGTTTGTGTGGTTGATTTGAAGGAAACCATAGGTAATCTGGAAAATGAAAAGGAGATTCTAACTGAGAGGATCACTAGTGTAGAACACGAAAGAGATGATCTGATGATAGTTGTAGTTGACCTAAAAGAAACCATTGAGAATTGCAGTAAAGAAAAAGATGCCTTAGTGGAGAAAGTGGCTGTAATTGAGCAGGAAAGAGATGACCTCTTAGTAGTGATTGTAGACTTAAAGGAAACAATAGAGGAACTCAAAACTGAATGTAGGCCTGGGAATTCTAAAAAAGGAAAGGAAGTGGCTAGTAAGGCACATATTAAACTTGAAAACAAGTTAAATGCTGTAAAAACTAGTCTGTGTGCTGAACTTGAGAAAAATAGACAACTTCAAGCAGAATTGGAAAGAATAAAAAGTGATCTTGAAAAGTCTCTTAAGTGGACCTGGTCCTCAGATGCTATTACTGTCATGTACGTTAACAATGGTGGAAACAGGCAGGGAATAGGGTTTCAAAGGGAGAGAACTCCTTACAACCCTCATAGAAAGTACATTATTGTGCCCGATAATTGGCTATGTACCCACTGTGGGAACAATGGGCATTTCAAAGAAAATTGCCAAGCCAGGGTTCAGTCTCTTAAGAAAAATAAAGTTTTTGCTGAAAGAGTAACTGCTGAAAGGGGACCAGGTGCCACCCATAAAAAGCGCATGTTATCTGCATGGACTAGAAGAGCACTTATTCATCCTCTTGTTTATTACAAGGGACCCAAACTTGCTTGGGTTCCTAAATCTAACCCTTGATTTCCTTGTGCAGGGAATAGTGAAAGGAAGTAGTCAACAATGGTTCATGGGCAGTGGATGCTCAAAGCACATGATTGGGAATACCATGGACTTTCTTTCACTAAAAGCCCTGCAAGGAGGGAGTGTATCCTTTGGAAATGGGAAAAAGGGGTACATTCTTGGTGTTGGAAAAATTGGAAAATCACTTACTCACTCAATTGCGAACGTGTACTATGTCAATGATCTTAAGTACAGTCTCTTGAGTGTTTCTCAGATATGTGATAAAGGAAACAAGGTGGAGTTCTTTTCTAAAATATGCACAGTTACAAATCTAGTAACTGGTGTAGTGGTACTTGTGGCCAAAAGATACAAGAATATCTACGTTGCTGATTTTGAGTCCCTACAAAGTGGTGATCTGAGCTGCTTGAAAGTAGTTGATGATGATGCTGAACTGTGGCACAGAAGGCTGGGGCATGCAAGCTTCTCTCTACTGAATAAACTGATTCAGAAGGACCTGGTTCATGGTCTGCCCAAGTCAAAGTCCAAAGAGCACAAGTTTTGTGATGCCTGCGCTAGAGGAAAGCATGTGAAATCCTCATTCAAGCTAAAGAAGGATGTCAACACCTCAAAACCACTTGATCTCCTTCATATGGATATATATGGTCCTATGAGAGTGCAAAGCAGGGGAGGAAAAAAAATACTTTTTTGTGATAATGGATGACTATTCCAGATTCACTTGGACTCTGTTCCTTAGAACAAAAGATGATACCTTTGAACTTTTTAGCCTTTGTGAAGAAAATTCAAGTGAAGATGGAATCAAAAGTAGCATGCATTAGATAAGATCATGGAACAGAATTTGACAATGCTAAGTTTGATGAATTCTGTAACGAGAATGGCATTACTCACAACTTCTCAGCCCCAAGAACTCCACAACAAAATGGAGTTGTGGAAAGGAAGAACAGAACCCTTGAAGAAATGGCAAGAACAATGCTGATCGATAGTGGGATTGCTAAGAACTTTTAGGCTGAAGCTATCAACACTGCCTGCTACTTGGTGAACAGGTGCATGATCAGGTCTCTCTTGAACAAAACTCCCTATGAGTTACTGAATGAAAGGAAGCCCAAGCTGACTCACTTAAGAACATTTGGGTGCAAATGTTATGTTCTCAACAACGGAAAGGATCAACTTAGACAATTTGATGCGAATAGTGATGAAGGAATCTTTCTGGGATATTCTTCTCAAAGTAAAGCCTACAAGGTATACAACATGCAGACTTAGTGTGTTGAGGAGAGTGTACACGTAATCTTTGACGAGTCCTACCTCTCCTCTGAGAAAAGCAACAAGGATGATCAAGATGGAGAGCCTCTATTGGTTCCAGGTGAGGTCATTGATATGGCAAATGGAAAGGCAGATATGATGAGTCAAGTGAAGGAGATAAGTAAAAACACTGCAGTCTTTTCCTCATTAGGCGGAAAGGAACCAGGTACTATAATTACAACCACTGAAGCTGGAGAAAGAGTGGTTGTTGCAGTTCAAAGTACTCCAAAGGTAGCTGAAAGAAGAATATAAGGGAACAAGTCATGATTACCCAGCTCCTCTACAAATGAAGCTCAAGTACCCAACTGGAAACACAAAAGCTCCCATCCTCTTGACAACATAATTACTCCTCCGGTTTCAGGAGTCCAAATAGATCAAAAGCCAGAAATTCACTTGCCTTCTCAGCATTCCTCTCCCAAATAGAGCCCAAAAACATTAAGGAAGCCTTAAAAGATGCAGAATGGATCACAACCATGCAAGATGAGCTGCATCATTTCAAAAGGAACAACGTATGGCACCTGGTACCTCGACCCGCAGATCGAACCATTATAGGAACCAAGTGTGTATTCAGGAATAAGCTCGATGAACATGGAAACACTACAAGAAACAAGGCAAGGCTACAATCAAGAGGAAGGAATTAATTATAATGAGACTTTTGCTCTGGTTGCTC